CAATGAGCACTAAAGAGAGAAGATGGGGGCAGGGGAACGCTTCCACTCTCATTTGTCCTTTTCTCCATGCCTTGAGACAGTCAAGTATTCACTATTATCTTTGAGTCATGGGGTTATTGGTGTCCATGGGATTTTTGGACCATAAGAAATGTAAAAGGAAGATCTTCACATAGAAACCTGGATCTATACAAAGAAATAAACACTGGAAATGAAACATATTTTAATATTTAAAAAATGCTCTAAAATGAGGTTTCTCAACCTCAGAACTATTGACATTTTGCTCTAGATGATTATTTTCTTGTAGCAGGCTGTCATGTGCATTGCAGGATGTGTAGCAGCACTCCGGCCTCTGCCCAATACCTGCCAGTAGCACCCTCCCCAGTGATGGCAACAAAAGTATCTCCAGACATCGTCAAACATCACATGAGGAAAGCTGGCCCCATTTTAGAATGTTTGTCTTACAGAATCATAAGAAGATACTAAATCATTGTTTGAAGTCATTAAAGTTTGGAAGAGTTTGTTACGTAGAAAAATCTGACAGATGCAACAGTCTTCAAAGAAATTATGTTTCCCAGGAATCTCTTAGTGTTTCTGTGGCTCACAGATTCCTACAAGCCTGGAGTGCCACAGGGAGAAGGTTAAATGAACGAGGAAAAAGTGATAGGCTGCTCCAGCCCAAGGCATGATGTTACTATCATTATCATTACTAATATTTGTCTTTATGTAGCAGCTTCCACCTGGGAATAGTTGCTAGGTATCAAACACTAGACTGTATTTAACTGTATAATTTGTACTTACCTATCATTTCATCATATTAATTATCATCTAATAGTTTTCATCCCTTTTTATAGAAAATAACCCTAAGGCTCAGGTATTTTGAGTGGCTTGCCCAGGGTGATGCAGCTGTTGAAATGAAAAGCCACATGGAATTCATATGTATTTTATTATAAAATCTATATTCTTTATATTTTGTTATTCTAGACTTTGTTATTGTTGTGATGCACCTTCAACTACTGCAAGATAGAAGTTTTGAACTTCGGAGTAAAAGTTCATCAATGCATAAAATTAAACCTAAAGACTATGGTCTTAGAGCATGTTACAACTGTTCATTAGAACTAACGTAGCTTCTGCCTAATTTCTTGGAGGAGCCTTAATGATATCAATTGTAATGGCACATTCATTTATATTTTGGTTATGAAATCAATGGCATGTCAATTAATGCTTTCTAAGAAAATTATTGGACAAAGTACTATTTTGAACTCCAAATTTTATTCCCACTATTAATTTATGAAGTGGGAATAATTTTTTTTTTTTTGAGGTGGAGGCTCACTCTGTGGCCAAGCTGGAGTGCAGTGACATGATCTCGGCTCACTGCAGCCTCCACTTCCCGGGTTCAAGCGATTCTTCTGCCTCAGCCTTCTGAGTAGCTGGGACTACAGGCATGTGCCACCACACCCAGCTAATTTTTGTTGTTGTTGTTGTTTTTAAGTAGAAACAGGGTTTCACCATGTTGGCTAAGATGGTCTCAATCTCTTGACCTCATGATCCACCCGCTTCAGCCTCCCAAAGTGCTGAGGACCTTTTCTATTCCTACCAGACAAAAGTAAGACATTAGTTTTGTTAAAATGGTACACTGTTCTTCTATCTGAGTCTAATTTGCTGATTATTTTACCTCCTCACATTAAAATTATGACCTTAAGACAAAAGCAAATACAACAAAGTTCACTGTATTATGGCTAGATGAAGCAGGAAGAGAGAGACACAAAACCAGGTTAAAGATAGAAAAGGCATCAGTTACCTCTTAGTCAGTGACCTTGCTTGGGCTTTCCCTCCATCCCACAGGATGTGAGATCTGAGACTGCACCCACAACTTCCCATCAATACAATTCTGATTCCACATTTAACACCTTAACTTCCCAATTAGAGTTGAGTTTTTAAAACTGCAATATTAATAGCAGAAATTAAGGAGTACTATCAGGAAATACTTAGTTCATTTCCCAAAATCTTAAGGAATTTCTATGAGATACAAAGTAGATAAGTCTGGATACAGGGTTTAAAAAAGTAGAAATATGTTATTTGCGACACAACAAAGAGGATGCTGCATGGATTCCTGAATTCCCAATTGCACCTGAAATTGCACTAGAACTGCTGATGGCTGCGAACTTCCTAGATTGTTAAATAAAATAAATTATAATAAACTGTTAACTCTTTTTAGTATTTAAAAAAAAAGAGCACATCTTAAATGCAACCTCAAAAACCCTCTTAATTCACACTGGCAGGGGCTAGAAAGAGTAATAAGGCCACCTACAGTGTCATATATCTCTCCTAAACATATTAGGAGAGCTTAATCTGAACCCACACAGAAGGAGACCCTTACCCCTCATCCCTCATGAGGACTCATGGCTCGCCTATAGCATCCCATCTCTACTACTTACCAGCTGTGCGACCCTGGGAAAAGTACTTTACCTCTATGAGCTTTAATGTTCTTCTTGAAAAATGTGGATGATTCTAAAGTATGACAAGTATGTATAAAGAGTAATTCATTCCAAGTGCAATATATTACATTCCTCACAACGGCCTAATAAGGTACCATCAGTGCTTCCAGCCAGGACATATCCTTAAATGAACAAGTTAGCTTTATTGTTCATTGCAGTGATGGAGAAAATTCACCATGAGGAATCACGCAGCAGCTCAGTAAAAGTTTGTTGGGACCAAAGAAGTAGAACAGGAGAACACTTATATTAGGAGAATGATTGAATGGAATTAATTTGTGCAACTGTGGGGGTGAACTAGGCAAGTCCAAGACCCACTGGGAGGCAGTCGTCAGGAAAAGCAGGCTGGAATTCTTAGCACAGGCTGATGCGCTGTCCACAGTGGAATTTCTGTTTGCTCAGAGAAGCCTCAGTTTTGCTTTTAAGACTTTTCAACTGCTTGGACTAAGCTCATCCAATTTATCTCTGATAAATTCTTACTTAAAATTAACTGATTAAGAACTTTAATGACATCTGCGAAATATCTTCACAGCAACACCTAGATTATTAGTGTGTGAATAACTAGAGACCACAGTCTAGCCAACACATAAAATTGACCATTAATCAATTGTAAGATTTGTGCTTGTGTTAGGTAATTTTGAGGAGGATTTAAGAAAGAGAGACTTCATTTTTAACTGGATTCTGACAGAAAGCAGGGGCGGGGGTGGCAGTGCTATGACTGACTGGCTTTATAAATCCTACCTGAAGGTACAAAAGACTATTTTGAGGCTACAGCTGTAATTGGTAAAGAAGCAGCAATCATTCCCGAGAGAGATGTGCCTGGTTATGTTTGTGGTTTGGACAATATTCCTGTTCTGTCTGGGTGCAGACATGATGACTGAGTGGCCTTGTGTTCTGTCTCAATCCATCATGCTCACAGAGTACCTGCCTGATTCTGATGTTCTATGAAATCTATTATTTTCAACAGGAGAACCAAAACCAGCTGTGAATACCAGGCTAACTCCTAGCAACCCCAAGGCCTTGTTCACTGCATCAGGCAGCTCCCAGGTGTCAGGACACTTTTTTGTTTTCCTTTTTTTCAGTCTCTGCCACTGGGAGTTAAGAATAACCTGCTGAGAATCTCAGGAAGCCATTTAACAAGGACAGAGTGATTCTAAACAAAACCTCCATTAACTAACTTGTTTCTGTAACATACAGAAAATAGATTCATCTGAAAAAAAAAAAAGTTTCCCTCTAATGACTACCTTTAGCTCAATCCCTAGTCCCTTGCAAGTAGCAAATTTTAATGTGGTAGGATAACAAATATGAAAAAATCCAGTAATTTAAGAAAAGTAACCCTATTTTCTAAGTCAAAGCAATTCTTCTTGTTCTACTGTTAATATTTGACTTGATATGCTTAAATGAAAAATTATTTGAATAATTGAGCCAGCCAAAGCTTTTTTAATGTAGTCAATGTCCCTAAATTTCTTTTAAATATATTTAAGTGGCCGGGCATGGTGGCTCACGCCTGTGATCCTAGCACTTTGGGAGGCTGAGGTAGGTGGATCACAAGGTCCAGAGTTTGAGATCAGCCTGACCAACATGGTGAAACCCTGTTTCTACTAAAAATACACAAAATTATCCAGGCACAATGGCACACACTTGTAACTCCAGCTACTCAGGAGGTTGAGGCAGGAGAATCACTTGAACCCAAGAGGTGGAGGTTGCAGTGAGCCGAGATTGTGTCATTGCACTCCAGCCTGGATGACAGAGTGAGACTCCATCTCAAAAAAAAAAAAAATATATATATATATATACACACACACACACACACACACATATATTCAAGCAGCACCAAAGATTACTTGAAGAGTATAAAGATTACTCGAAGCAAAAGGAAAAACTGTATAAAAGATCTGCTACTGTAGGCATCACCACATGACAGTCTAACTCCTTTTATTGCCCTGGTCAAAAACACCTGGAGCTTTTAAGAACTTGAGAACTTACCAGCAGGATTTGTACAAGTAGAAAAGGCAAAGGTATTACGTGGCTACAACCAGCAGAGATCCTTAGGTAACTGGGCTCAAGTCAAAATTTAGGGAATACCATATACGCTATGGAAGCAAAAAGAAAACAGCTAACCCAAATGGAGAAGCCAGAGAAAGGGGAGGGGATGGAGACTCCCAGGGGGAAAATCGCCTCAGGGAAGAATTCCTGGAGGTTGTAACCTGAAAACCCCTGAAGGATGCCATGTTATTAATGACCTTATTTATCCAAGAGGCTGCTCAGAACACTAGCAGACATGCACACATGAGAGAAGATTCCAACTTAGTATCTTCCCTTTATTCATAGAAAATTTCCTGAAGACCACGCTGTGTGGAGGATGTGGCAGAACCAGAGGATGTCCCTGTCTTCTTCCAGTGCTCTTAATACAAACTCTGCAACTGGCAATCAGGATGTCACCAGAGGGGATTTTTCTGATTGGCCATAAACCTGACCTGGCAGGGGTTGGTTTGAGTGTCTTTAGATTTCCTTGGCTCAGTCCTCACAGTTGCTCTACAACTCAGAGCAGCAACTGCTGAGGCTGCCTTGGGAAGAGGATGATCCTAAACAAAGCTCTGATGCTGGGGGCCCTCGTCCTGACCACCGTGATAAACCCCTGTGGAGGTGAAGACATTGTGGGTGAGTGCATGAGTGAGGGATGTTCTCTGGAGTTAGAAGACAGGAAATTGAAGGAAAAGAGAGTGCAATTTGCTAAGAAATAGTAGAAATTTCCCAAGGGTCTTTTCAGCATTAAGAAATTTTAAAACTTTGGCTGTTCCTCCTTTAAGAAATCACAGCTCCAACCAACTCTCTTTGCTACCTGTGCTATTGGAGTTTACTAAGGACATTGTTCCCTTTATATTAACAGTGACTATAGCCTGGAGGTCTCTATGGCATTCCATCATGACTGCCTCAAAGATTAGGGATGTTTCTATGAGTGGAGTATTTTTTGTTATTAAAAATTTCTGAACTATTACTCCCAAATTTCTCTGAATAACTTTTGAAACTTTTCTTATGCCTCCTATAGTATATGTTGGGGCAAGTAGTTCCATGAATTATGTATACTCTATAGATGTAAAGAAAGTGCTCCTTTTCTTTGTCTCAGACTTACTCACATTTCCACATGGGAACAGGCACAGGTGGGGAGTAGGTAAAAGAGCCCAGCGGGCTGAATGCCTTCAGATAATTGTCTTAGCACATGGTAAATGTGGTGCTTACTCTCTGCTACCTCATCTGTGTCACCTGGCTTATAATCACATAAAATGGGCATGTAGATATGCTTTATAAAGAGTAAAAACATGAGTGTCAACTTTTTCTTACTTATTACTATTACAGGCATATCTTCATATTTTTTCTTTAGCAAAGTAAGAAATATCTTTATTTTAAAATTGAGAACTTTATGACAAAATGCTTGGTAAATTAAATTCTTTTATTCTCAAATTGTCAACCAAAATTATCTATTGTTCACCTTGTTTAATGAAGCCCTATGAAAAGAAAAACAGGCAGGCACAGATTACTTGGTCCTTTAGTCCCTTCTGTCTTTGTCGTCCATCTCTTTTCACCTCTCTTTATGCATTCCTTTCTCCCTCTTCCCCTTCAGGATCCGTCTCTGACTCCCTGCTCCTTTATAGACATGGACAGTGGGTTTGTAAAACAAAAGTTGAAAAGTCAAATAGTTAAAAGGGAAAGTGAACTGGAAGCTGCTCTAAACTTCCGAAACTTATTAACCATGGCTACTCTCATTCTGATTTTGTTTGGCAGTGGAAGTTTCATCTGCTTCTCCAGAGCACTTGGCTTTTTTGCTTCAAATTTCCTTTCTTCAGCCTCACACCAGAGTGCCCTGGTCAGGCTCCATTCAACCATCAGGAATAGTGTGTGCAGTGCAGGGAACCCTCTGTACTGTAAAGCTAAAAGATAATGTTTTAACTCCTTTTAAAATTAGAAGAAAAAATGAAGTTTTAGAGCCTAAGAAAATGTTTTAACTTTTAATTTAGCCTGGATTATATTTGTCTTTGTAGAAATCCAATCAGAAGCTATAATTTTCCATATTTTTTTGGAGGTAGGTGCCCACAAAAGCAACAGTACTCGAGGCTCACGAGTCAGAATGCAGCCCTCAGCATCCCTGATCCTGGGCTTTGCGTGGTTCTGCTACCTGCGTGCCTGTCAGTCTCCCTAAAATCTATGTAATTGTCAAAAAATGTAATTGTCATTCAATACACGTTTGGGCACACAGTGGGCTAACTTTTGGGGATTCAAAGATAAAAAATCATGCTGTGTGCCTTGCAGAGTGTGCACAGACCAGGGATAGAAACAATATGGGGCACAGGAAAGCAGAAGGCCATTGCTGAGAGGGCAGTGGACCCTGCAGAGGCTGAAACTGTAAAAGTGGCTTGGTTCCAGCTGGGCCAGCAGAGTGCCATCCTCCAGCAACACTAGGCGCCCAGAAGGAGTGCCAAATGAAAAGAAGGATTGCATGTACTCCACATATATTCATGTTTGAACTAGGATTCAAGGCTTATTGTAAGGATAAGGAGCCTTTGTTGGTGGCCTGTTAAGTAATCAACCAGGGCAGTCATGCTGGATAGGGAAGAAGGTGAGCTGGAAGAGGAACAGACACACTTGCAGAGCCAGACGCTGAGATGGAGGGGTGGAGGTCATAACGCGGTCAAAAACATGTTGAGAGGACTTAGCTACAAAATTGTTACCTAAGTAGAAACCTCAAGAATTAATTTTAGGATTTCTCCAGGAAATCCTAAAAGGTAAATTCTTTCAGTGAGAAAAAACAGACCCTTGCAAAGACATGAAAGGAAATGTAGTTTGGTTTGATTGACAGACAGTTGTGAAGGATGTTGGACTGTAAGGCTGTCAATATCCTCCTCACAGAACTCACCACAGTACATGGTATTTACTCCCTTACATACCTGACTCTCCCGCTGTTCAGTTTGTTCCTTGATGGTGTTTTAAGCATCCCCTGCTATGTCTGACACTCTTGGATGGTCAGTAAACAAGGAAAGAAGAAATGATAAAATAATAAAGGGTTCACACATGTGTTGACAAAAATGTCCAATTCAGCTCATTTGGCGGGATTGCACGGCTGCTGTTCTGCTCTGGCATCCTCAGACAAGCTCACTGCCCATCCGCAAATTCTTTACTCAGGTAAAGAGTTTAATTTACCTGAGTCCTAGAGTGAATGTAAGTGTTGAGTCAGAACATTATAGCCAGTTAGTAACCTCCTTCAAAGGAAAAAAAAAAAAAAGGTGAGAGGAATGACAGAAATTCAAAAACTAGTAGAGCTTCCACTTTTCATTTCAGAAGAAATCAGTTGCTCTACTCTAAGGACCGTTACTATTAACAAAACAGAGACCTTAGAAGCATTGTTTATTTGTTATAAATGTGTAATATTGCTATTCTTGTAATAGTCTTTCTTATACCCTGTAATTGTTAGAAGAAATTTTTTTAAGTTAATAAGATCCTACATGCTTTTCTTTGATTAAAAAAAAAAAAAAAAGGAAAATCTCTGCATAGAAAGTGTCCTGTTCTGAGCTAGTCCTGAGAGGAAAGGAAGTATACTCAATTTGTTATTAACTGACAAAAGAAATAACTGAGAGATAAAACTTAGGAAGCAGGGGGAAATAAATAAACTGAATCTCTGAGTAAGAAGACTAAATACTATGATAACTCATTTGTTCCTTCTTTTGTTTATTACAATATTCATCATAAGCTTATGATATGCCAGGCACAAGGTAGGCACTCAAAATAGTAGATGTGTGGCGTTTGCCTTTGTGGAGCATATGTTACAGTGGGAAAGACAGCATCAATTCTAACCCGACAAGTACCAGCTTTAGGCAGGGAGAAAACAGGTGCTGAGAATATTGTTCAGGGACTGTGCCAAAGATGAAGCCCATGCTATTTGAAAGTCAGTTTCTTCAATCACTTTCCGTATTAAGGTTCTTTCTTCCTGTGTTCTGCCCTCCTGCTTGTCACCTTCACTCATCAGCTGACCACATTGCCTCCTATGGCGTGAACTTCTACCAGTCGTACGGTCACTCTGGCCAGTACACCCATGAATTTGATGGAGATGAGGAGTTCTACGTGGACCTGGAGACAAAGGAGACTGTCTGGCGGTTGCCTATGTTTAGCAAATTTATAAGTTTTGACCCGCAGAGTGCGCTGAGAAATATGGCTGTGGGAAGACACACCTTGGAATTCATGATTAAACAGTCCAACTCGACTGCCGCTACCAATGGTACGTGTCCACCATTCCGCCTCCCTTTACTGAATCTAATCCTTCATACCAAGTTTTACTCTCTTCTTCCCAAGAGATCCCCAGATCTTCTCATGGTAATTGCTGGAATTTCATTGTCCCCCATCTCTAAAATCACATAGTCCCATGTAATACAAGGGTTTTTCCATCATGCATTCATTAAATCCTTCTAGGAGAGGTCTCATGAACCTCCACTTTATTAAACATACCAACAGAGAGCAGGGCACGGGAATAAAGCAGAAGCAATGTGTCATTGCTCCCAAGCAGGATGTAAATGAGATCTCTTTGACTATCAGGTGGTGAAATGCTGGTAGGAGAGCTCTTCCAGGACATAATGCAGAACCTCAGGGCAGAGCTATTCACACTTCACATCAGTGCTGCTTCCTCACCACAGAGGTTCCTGAGGTCACAGTGTTTTCCAAGTCTCCCATGGCGCTGGGTCAGCCCAACACCCTCATCTGCCTTGTGGACAACATCTTTCCTCCCGTGGTCAACAACACATGGCTGAGCAATGGGCACTCTGTCACAGAAGGTGTTTCTGAAACCAGCTTCCTCTCCTCCTTCTTCAAGATCAGTTACCTCACCTTCCTCCCTTCTGCTGATGAGATTTTTGACTGCAAGGTGGAGCACTGGGGCCTAGATGGGCCTCTTCTGAAACACTAGGGTTAGTGTGAGTTCTACCACTTCGTGGGTTTCTAGTGACAGACTTCACTCTTCTCCCTAAGCCTGGGGCCTTGAGTCTTTGCAGAGCAAACCCTCCACCCCATCCCATCCCACACACCTGCACATGAGCACACTCTGCATTCTGACCTCAACAACTTCACTTCTACAGAGCCTGAGATTCCAGTCCCTATGTCAGAGCTCACAGAGACTGTGGTCTGCGCCCTGGGGTTGTCTGTGGGCCTCGTGGGCATTGTGGTGGGCACTGTCTTCATCATCCAAGGCCTGTGTTCAGTTGATGATTCCAGACACCAAGGGCCCTTGTGAATCCCATCCTGGAGGGGAAGGTAAGATTGAGATTGGTTAGAGCTGAAGCCGCAGTATGAGAGGAAGGAAAGTGGGAGGAGGTTGTGGACACGAATGTGGTTGAAAGTTGTAGGGGAATTGGTAAGTGGCATGATCATGACACAAGAACCCCCTTGGAGCCATCCCTCTCATGTCTGCCCTGTTTCAGGTGCATTGCCATCTGCAGGAGCAGAAGAGTGGATGTGCTACATGACATAGCACTATTCTCTGGCCTGATATATCATAACCCTTTTCTCCTCTGAATGTTGCTCCTCTCACCTGTTCTCTAGTACTTAAGATGCTGTATTCCCTAAGAGCTCACAAAAGCCTTTCAATTATTTCCCTGACCTCCTGAATGTTTTTCTTTTTTCAAATGTTACCTACTAACTGATGCCTGGGTAAGCCACTCAGCTACCTTATTCCTCAGTGACCTTTACCTAAAATCTTCATGAAAGCAATAAATTCTCTTTTCTGAGGCCTCTTTTGAATTTTTCCCATCTTTCATCTTAGGGCTGACTGGGAGCATAACCAAGAATGGGAGATTCTTATGTTTCAGATCAATTTCATCTCATTTCTCAGATCACATTTTGTGCCCAGTAACACAGGAGCAACCAAGTACAGTGTATCCTGATAATTCGTTGATCTCTTAGCTGGGGTTAATATTTCCTTCTTCCTTTTGTTCCTACCCTTGGCCACTGCCACCCATCCCTCAATTCAGGTACCAATGAGGAAGGTAATAGATACCCTCTGCCCTTGGCTCAGAATGGTTATAGCAGAAACACAAACAAAACAAAACAAAAAAATAAGTCTGTACTAATTTTAATATGGCTTTTAAAGGGAATGACAGAAACAGGATAAAATTTTGAATCTCAAAAATTATGAAAAGTAAAAAATGTTATTACCGAAAGTCAAAATGCATCCTTAATTTAAATTTGTGAAGAATGACAACAATAGCTTTCCTCTCCCCTCCTCACCTTGAGGAGATAAAAATTCTCTACGCAGGAAAATAAATGGAAGCCAGTGAGAAAAACATTAAAATAAGGCTGGGCATGGTGGCTCATGCCTGTAATCCCAGCATTTTGGGAGTCCAAAGTAGGCAGATCACTTGCAGTCAGGAGTTCGAGACCAGCCTGGCCAACATGGTGACACCCTGTCTTCATTAAAAATACAAAACTTAGCCAGGCATGGTGGTGGGCACCTGTAATCCCAGCTACTCAGTAGGCTAAGGCAGGAGAATCGCTTGAACCTGGGAGGTGGAGATTGCAGTGAGCCGAGATTGCGTCCCTATACTCCAGCCTGGGTGACAGAGGAAGACTCCATCTCAAGAAAAAAAAAAAAAGAGAGAGAGAGAGATCATGTCCTTTGCAGGAACATGAACATGGATGGAGCTGGAGGCCTTTATCCTACACAAACTAACACAGGAACTCCGCCTCAAAATAAATAAATACATACAAATAATTTTTTAAAAAAGAAAGAAAAATATCAAAATAAGACAATAATATAAGCAGGTATCTGAAAAGGAACAAATACTTGTTCCTTACTTAGGGTTAGTGACAATGGAAAATGGATAGGAGTAGAAGCTACAGACATATTTTGGGGCCCCAGGGTCCTGCTCTTCACCCCTCCTGGCTAAGGAAAGAATGAGCCTATGAGAGAGAATGCCTAAGAAGAACAACACAATTGAGACAATGTCACAGCAGCTGTGGGTGCCATGTCCTCCACTGGATTCACGGACTCCTAGTAGAAACTCTCCCAGAGGAAATGGATCAACAAGGATCTTATGGCCCTAAACAGCTATGAAATTCTGCGAGGATATTTCTGTCCATGCTATCCGCATCAGTGAGTTTAAAATGTAATAGGAGAAAAAAAAAGACAAAACATTAACTGATAATTGATGCAGCATAGCTTGGTACAAAGAAACCTAAATCCAAATCCACAACTCAGTACTTTGAAGCCAATATTTTAAACTTTACTGGGTAAAATATCTGACTGACATTTCTGAACCTTATTATTCTCATCCACAATGTGGGAGTGATAATACTATCCTTGCAAAGTTATTGATGGAATTTGAATAATCTTGATATATAGGCAGTGCCTTACACATAGTATGTAAATACATAAACCACTGCAGTTACATTTATAATTGATTTATTAAAAAGAATGGATCATATTATATAAAAAATACATTTGTTTTCCTTAGCCTCTTAATGATTTAGGAGATTCAAATATAGACATAAGAGTGAGTTTCTTTTCATACGTTAACTGGAGAATTTTTTCTTTCTCCAGAATGAGACACTGGGATTGGGATGCTAAGAGAACTCTTAGGAGAAGAAGTTGTAATATTTGACTTCAGTTTTTAACTCTCTAAAGGGTATATTCCCTCCTTATGGCCATAAATTTTAAGTCAAGGTGAATTATATGCAACAGATGTTTATCCACATTTACTTTGGGGAGGAGGTGGGAAAGACTCCAGAAGAAAATCATTATAAATGCAGACTGGGAATTAGTAAGTGCAGAGAATCTGAACCAGTGGTGATCATGATAATGTACATCACAGAACATAGAGGATTTTTAGGGCAATGAAACTACTCTATTTGATACCACAATGGTGACTAAATATCATTATGCATTTGCCCGAATCTATAGAATGCACAACACCAAGAGTGAACTATGGACTTAATATAAACTATGGACTTTGGGTGATAATGATGTGTCAATGTAAGTTCATAAATTGTAGCAAATGTACCACTGTGGTGGAGGATGTTGATGGTGAAGGAGGCTATGCATGTGTGGGAGCAGAGAGCATATGGGATATGTCTGTACTTTACAGTTTTTCTGGGAACCTAAAACTTGTTTAAAATAAAGCCTATTAAAAAATAGAAAAGAAAAGGTCAACAATAACAATCCCAAATATATAAAATTAAAAATGTAGTATAAAAAAGGTTACATGAAAATGCACGAATGTGTTAAGAACTTTTTTGCAAGAGGATTTAAAATATATTTTATATAAATTTCAATGATTCATCTGGGAGGAACCCAGCATTCTGGAGGTATGTGCATTTGTACGTGTGCCTGTGTGTGTGTAATAAAAGGCTTACACTGAATGACATTATGATCAGAGTCATACGGCAATATACAAATGCTCCCCTATTTAGAAACCTTCCCCAAGAAATACAGAGGAAAGCAGCTTTAATGGTAGCTGGATTTTACTGAAAAAACATACTCAGAAAGCCTTTATATAATGTCAAAATAGCATAATTAAAATTAGTTTTATAAAATAGAGAAAATATATCTTTTTATCAGCTGAAAGTTAAAAGTGAGATCATCATACGACATTATTATAAACAAAGTTATAAATCAGACTGCATGATTTAAAATTATGTGATTCTTAAAAATTATTTGTTACCTGAATTATTTCGGATTACGTACATAAAGTTTGACTTCATTGATAGGTAATATCACATTGTTTAAATTTTACAAAATTTCCAGTCGCAACGGTTCACTCCTGTGATCTCAGCACAAGGTGTGAATCCCTCAAAGTCAGGAGGTGCAGACCAGCCAGTAGTCCCAGCTAGTAAGGAGGCTGAGGCAGGAGGATTGCTGCTTGTGCCCAGGAGTTTGAGGCTGCAGTGAGTTAGGATCAATGGCACCACTGCACTTGCTCCAGCCTGGGCAACACAGTGAGACTCTGTCTCTAGAGATGAATAAATAAATAACATTCATGACATTTTAAAATCACATAAAATATTTCAGATTTGCACTTACCACAAACTAGAGATTTGAAGAATTAAACATTACAAATAAAGCACTTCACACACAGACTGGCACATAGTAAGCAGTTAATAGATGTTAACAATTGGTATTATTGTTATTTTCTGGAGTTCAAGTCAAAATCCCAAGATGAATGATGCCACAAGGATGTAACCAACAAAAATCAGAATATGAGAAACTGTACCAGAGTTAAAAAAAAAAAAAAAAAAAAAAAAAAAAAAACACTTCTCCAGCAAACAATTTGCAAAAAAGTTAAAAATAGAGAAAAGAAACACATTTGTTAAAAAATTTATATGAGGCAATCAGAAAAATTCACACTGAGTATATTAAGAAATTATCTCATTTTCATTGTGGTAGTGGCATTGCTGTTATGTTTCTAAAAGGCATTATATTTTAGATTTTCATAATAAAAATTTATGAATGAAATATTATATCTAAAAATATCACCAAAATAATCCAGTACGTGCCTGTATGATAATTGGGTGGGTTTACAAAATTGCTCATGAATAGATCATTGTTAAAGCTGGGCTGTTAATACATAGTATTCTTCTCTCTACTATTGTACACAGTTGAGATTTTCTGTAATATAAAGGTTTTTTTTCAAAAAATAAAAGTATTCAGAAAAGTCCCATAAACACAGGCAGAGAAGCATTCTGTTTGAAGTTACGTTAGTTTTTCAGTTTCTCTCATTTTTATCACATTTAGGAAAGCCTGTCCAAATCCTGCCTAAGTCTATAAGAACCTCTCAGGAATGCAGCTCTAAATAATTTGTATGCAGGAACTAATAATAACAAAGGAAAGCAAAGTAATGCTTACTTTATTATTGGCTGGACTAAGCCCCCTGACTTGTTTATATATTCACTAAGTCATCAAAAATACAAAAATGCTTTAAAAAATTGTAAAATTTAATTAAAAAGTTGGAAAATTAAGAAAATCTCACAGTAATTTAAAAGACAAAAAAAAAGTAATATACGGTAGAAAAAATAAGACAGAGAATAGACCAAGGAAGTCCAATCTCAAGTGACAGAGCTAGAGAGACCAACAGGGAAGATGACGGGAAAAAACTACCAAAAGAAATAATAAGGGAAAAATTTTCAGATACAAAAGATTTAATTCTTCTGTAGAATAGTCTTGTGAGGTATTTAGCAAAATTAACAAACTCACCACTAAATATCTCACTTTCAAAATTTCAGAACTTCAGGTGTTAAAGAAAGGTCATAAAATATTCCAGTGGGGGAAACCAAGATGAAACAAACTGACAACAGACAAAATACTTCTATTTAAGATGTTGAGAAAGTCCTTGAAGTTCTAAAGAAAAATTGTTTTTTATTAATAAATGTAGACCTTTTCAAAATCACAATCAGGCATGGAGAAAGAATAAAAGTACCTGTGGATGTGAAAGGACACAAAATTTACCTACCACGCAGAGTTTTACTGGAAGTTGGCTAAGGATATGATGGATTGAGATTGTTATTCAGGAAATGGGATGGTAAGGAATCCAAGAAACTGGGTTTAACCAGGACCTCACTGAAAAGAGATCCTACTACGTCAGTTTCTTGGCAAGAAAAGAACACCTGACTGCATAAGTAATATTTAGAAAGTGATCAACATTTTTTTTCAAATTTAGAATTAAGCTGTGAGCGAAGCCCAAGGACTCTTATTGTTACAGCAGAATGTCAATATTTTCTCTTTAAAAATATTGAAAAATTGGCAAGTGGAAGCACAAAGGAGAGGGGAAAGGGAGGGTAACAATGCCAATAACTTCATTTTCCAAGAAGGAGGAGAGACACTGCCCATACTTATAGAAGTCACAAAGATCAATATATTTAAATTACAATCATAAGTGAAAAAGTATGTAAAATGACCCAAGAGTTAGAGCAAGGCTTTAGAAATTAGACCATTATTTCAGTTACACACACAAAAAATAGACTATTATCTATCAGCATAACTGAAGCTATTCTGAAGCTGCAAGGGGCCCTCAGAGTTGGCCCAAACTGGAGCAAGTGTTTATACCCCCATACTGACCAATCATTATAGGTGAGTTCCTCCTGGGAAGTGGAGTAAAATCCAATGAGGCAGGTTTTATCACCTAAGACAATTCCAGGGAATGACTGATGGCTGGGGGCATTCAGCCAGGAACATTCCCAGAAAATAAGAGAATAAATCCTTCAGTCTCAAAGAGCGGAGTTTAGGTACAACAGAACAGCACCCACAACAGAAATGTATATATTTCTGGGAATACATATAGTTCCTGGGAATACATATATATTCATGTAGAACAAAACAGATAAATGTTTTTAAAATTCAGCAGCTATTTAAAAATTAAAAATAGAACTACCATATGATCCAGCAGTTCCACTTCTGGGTACATCTGCAAAGAAAATGAAATCAGTGTATCAAAGAGATATACGAACCCCCACGTTTATTGCAGCACTATTCATAATGGCCAAGAGATAGAATCAACCTAAGCATCCCTCAGCGGATGAATGGATAAAAAAAATGTGGTGCACATACACCATGGAATACTATTCAGCCTTATAAAAGAAGGAAATCTTGTCATTTATAACACAGATGAACCTGTTAGACATTATGCTAAGTGAAATAAGTCAGACACAGAAAGACAAAAACCACACGACCTCACTTACATGCAGAATCTTAAAAAGTCAAAGTCACGGAGGAGTTGAGTGTGGGGAGAGGAAGAAAAAGGAATGAGATATTGGTCAAAAGGTACAAGTTTCAGTTAGAGAGGAGGAAAAGTACTGAAGATCAATTGTGCAGCACGGTGACTACAGTTAATAATAACATACAGTTGTCCCTTGGCATCCTTGAGAGATTGGCTCCAGGACCCTTCCTGGATACCAAAATCTGAGAATGCTCAAGTCCCTTCTTAAAAATGGCTTAGTTTTTGCACATCACCTAAGGATATTTTCCTATATACTTCAAATCATCTTTAGATTACTTATAATACCTAAAGCAATATAAATGCTATGTAAATAGTTGTTACACTGTATTGTCTTTTAAGTGATATTATTTTTATGTTGTATTGTTGTATTTTATCATTTTTTTCCAAATATATTCAATAAAGGGTTGGCTGAATCAGAGAACACAGAACCCACAAATACAGAGGGCCAGCTGTATTGTATATTTGAAAATTGCTAAGACAGATTTTAAATATTCACATCAAATGAAAAAAAAGTATGTGAAGTGATCGATATGTTAATTAGCTTGATTTAGTCATTTCACAGTGTACTGTATACATATATTGAAATGTCACATTGTACCTTATAAATATTCATTTATCAATTAAAGATAATTTATTTTTTAATGTAACATTAACTTTTTGTTGTTCAAATAAAGTTTTCTGTTCTTTATTTTCAAAAACCTTTTTGTTTAAAAATTATCATCTCAATCATCTCAATTTCCATTAACTCAATTGATTCACTCTATTAACTTCTTCTGAAGTTAAACATTCCATGGTTAACAGGAAAGGCAAGGTTATGTTGCAGTAAGATCTTAGCCCTGAGTTAAAAGCAAATCTCAGTGGCTTCACTCAATAAAGAGATTTAATTCCACAGTTTTTCAAGTGACTCAGGTTTTATGGAGTTTCCAGTGTCTCATCATGCATCTACTTGCAAGTTCCATTGGCTAACATTAGTCAAATGATCCCAACCTAACAGCAGAAAACACTGGGAAATGTAAAGGCGCTTATGGCATATTGGTGAGCACCACTGTCTCTGAAATATACTGATATTTCCTAAGGTAAAAACAAATGCTCACAACTGGCAGGTTGTTTTCTAGAACACCCATGCACTTTCCTCCAAGATATATGTGTACTAAGACTCAACTCTTCTTGTTAGAAAACTTATTTACAAAGAATATACTTTGTTTCTTTATCAATTAAAGATTATACTGCTCAATGGACTCTGGGTGCAAAAAACAGTTTTTTCTAGGAAACTGGCAGTGGAAGAAACGGGGAAGACTTTGACCCTCTCATAAACAAACTATCTTCTAGGATGTGTTCTGTGTGACAAAGTTGATCTGAAAGAATGTCCTAGAATTTGTTTTGGGCCACATTAAAAATTGTCATGGGCTGCATGACAAGCCTGTCTGCTTTAATGACAAATCCAGAGACTGAGATGTAGACCAGCTTCAGGGCTGGGCTCACATCAAAGGGGCCACTGTGTGTAGTGACCTCCCTTGTGACCAGGAAGAAAGTGTCATCAGGAATCAACAGGTTACAATGTCAATGACAAGGGGATCTCAAATGAGGAATGGGATGGCTGTGAACAGGTACCACTGAGGGACGCTAGAACCAGAGGAAGATCTGCCGCTTGACCCGTGGGCTCAGCAAGAAACAAACTTCCGCATCCACCCCACCACTGTGAAGAGGCTCTGGAGGCTGAGGTGCTCCACATGGCTAATGTAGACATCTGCACACTGGAAAGTTGTTTCCAGCACCACAAAGTTCTGGAAAATCCAGTCTTCCTTCATAATAAGAGGAATGAGCATGCTGGCTGTCAGCATCCCATGAACAGGATGGTGTGTTTGGGAGGTGTGCATGTTACTCAGGCTTGGGCGATCAGAATCTTTCCCAAAATTATTAAAACTTTGGTAGACACTCCAGAAACATACATAACAAAGACACACACACACACACACACACACACACACACACACACACACATACACGAAGAGAGAAATGAAATAAGGTGTGAGGTGATAAGAGAGATGCAGAGAACACAGATGCAAAAAGAAAAAAAAAGAAATGCAGATAAACAGTGACAAAGATTATAAAAACAGAGAAAGGCAACAATGCAGTGAAAGACACAACAAGGGAACAAAGACAAAACTGGAGAGAGACACCCAGAAAGAACTACGCAGGGACAAAGAGACACACAGGGAGGAGGACGCACAGACAGAACTATAACAGAAAGAGAAGAGAGAGATGAAGGCCTCATTGACTATCTGGAACTAGTCACTTCTGAAAGCAAGTGTCCTTGTAACATGCATCAGACATGTTTGGGTTCCGTTTCTATCATTTGGAACCAAAAATAGTACTTTCATTGCTGGTCATGCTTTCTTAAAAATAAAAATTAGTCTTGATTGATGTGACTTGCCAGCCAGAATATATCTGAAACATCAGTCACGATAGCTGTCCCCAAACAATTCTACCATGCTTACTTAGACAACACTAGGGCCACTGCACTGAACTTCAGTATTAAGGAACCATGAATGATGTGACAATTGAATTGATTTTCTACCTCCTCTGCTCACTCTTAATTTTGCACCCCAAGATGCTTCAGTGTCTTTTCAAGGTACCACCCTCTTTCTGGCCACAGTTTGCCTGAGTCACCTCAAGGTATGTTCCTTCACTTGGCAGTGGTTTCCTGCCTCTACTCAGTTGAGGAAGTTCAGAAACAGATAACTCAGAATCACGTTTAATTACGCGAAAAGCTCTAAAGTCAGGTAAATGATTTTGTGTTGACAGGTCTGGGGTGGGGAGAAGGGAAACAGAGAAGCCCCTTGGGGCCTGAGTAGACACAGCTTGCAGTGCACAGGCAGAGGCTCGGGGTCAGTGCGGGAAGCAGAGTCACAGCCAGCACCCTGGGGTGGGGATCACAGGAGGTGGCCCGGTGGCTGCATGAGAGGCACTGTAGGACTCTGACCTCAGGGAGACAGGCGACACAGGCAGTTAGAAATTCTGGGCAGGGGCAGGCGGGCATTATAGAAAAGTGATAACCAATCCCAGACAAAAGTCCTCAGGAGTCAGTGCAGGAGCCCTGGAGAAGAGAGATAAGGTGTGATCAGCACAGGGTACCCTGAGCGACACGCCCTCTCCCCCACCCCTCAGGTTCCTCTGCAGCATCAAACAGAGAACGCTGAGGTACAGGGCATATCATCATTACGTTCCCCAAGATCTGTGTAAAGGTAAATCAGCTCATGAGGACACAGAACTTCAGCTTGATGCAGATTTGTGGAGGTGGGGGAACAGCAGTTGCCCTTCTGGGTAATAGGAAGGGTTTGTTTTTTTAGTAAATTGAATGACACCTCACCTCCACCACTAGCAACCTTTTCCAGTCACTAAAAAATGCCTATAGGCAGTAGCCATCAAAATGTGGCACAAAGTGGGCATCACCCCACTGTCTAACATTCAAGATGTGTCTCTGTCCCCACATTTCACAAAAAGATACCACCAAAGTTAAGGCCTGGTTCTGGGGAACAACCTCTGGAGATCCCCGGAAACTGGCAAACTTCTCCTCTGAGTCTTCACCCTCACAGCAGCAAACAGCCCATGAACAGAGACCACTGTGCCCTGGAACACTCAGCTCATGCTCGTCCCTCTTATACCTGTGCCCTCCCCACACTGGATCATGGCTGAAATATTACCTGCTGGGGGAGGCCCTCGACGTCCTGCAAAAGGAAATTATGCAGAGAAAGGTCTTGTTACAAAAACAGCCACTCTCCTACCCCAAAGGTAAATGACACATGTGGCTTAATTGGAGTTATATTTTCTTCCCACCCATGTTCTTCAAGGCCTTAAGCAGCCTAAGTTAAAATTCCACAAAACAAAGGAAATTGTCACTAGAGAGCAAGGAGGCCAAGGCTCTGAATCTCTTAATGGAGGAAGCTTTTGGAAAGGAACCAGTAAGATACTGATGAGCAGTAAGGCAGTTGTGGAATAAGCTCTATCAGTCAGCTCTGGCAGCGCTACCACTGACCCAGTAAAATCAGATTCCAATGCCTCCTCCAATCTTGTCCTGTCTCTTCACACTTCCTCTCAGGGTCAAGAGGAAAGAGCTACATTTAGAGACAGAACGTCTCTGAACAGACCGTCTCAGTCACAGCCCATCTTCCCCAATTTCCAATGGGGTTCCTCAGTTTTCTGACCTGTATGATAGATAACAAGGCCCAGCCCCAGGAAGATCAGCCCTAGCACAAACCACCTATCTTCCCCATTTCCCCCTGGGGTTCCTCACCTTTCTGACCCCTGTGACGGATGACGAGGCCCAGCCCGAGGAAGATCAGCCCCAGCACAAAGCCCCCAATTCCACTCAGCATCTTGCTCTAGGCAGATTTGGAGTGAGCCCCTAGGAAGAAGCGCCTGCGTGTCAGTGATTGTCCCCATACCCCATAATGTCCTTGGTACAGGAGATAGAGGTGTCAGGGGAAACTAGTTCTCCAGTCTGACCACCCTAGGGAAGAGAACGACCAGCCAATAGGTCCTTGGGCACACTGGGTGGGTAAGGGAGAGGAGGAAGTACACCCCTGTCCCTCAGGAATTCATCCAGACCTCAAACCCTAAGGCCCCAGTCACCAGCCCTAATAGTCAATCTCATAGCCGTCACAGCTGGGTTCTGGGGTTTTAATAGTGTTGATATGGTTTGAATCTGTGTCCCCACCCAAATCTCATGTTCAGTTGTAATTAACACTGTTGGATGTAGAGCCTGGTGGGAGGTGACTGGATCATTAGACCAGATTCTTGCGAATAGTGTAACACCACCTCCCTTAGTAGTGTCATCACAATAGTGAGTTCTCATGAGATCTGGTTATTTAAAACTGCATGCCACCAACCCCCTCTTTCTCATGCTCCTGTTCATGCCATGTGAGACTCCTCGTTCCCTCTTTTCCTTCTTCCGTGATTAGGAACTTCCTTATGTCTTCCCATAAGCAGAAGCCACTGTGTTCCCCTATAGCTACAGAACCATAAGCCAATCGAACCTCTTCTCTTTATAAATTACCCATTTTCAGGTATTTCTTTATAGTAATGTGAGAAGAGCCAATGAAACCTCTTTCTTTATAAATTACCCAGTCTCAGATATTTCTTTATAGCAGTACATGAATGCACTAACACAAATGTGTAGAGTGATCTCCCTAGTAACTGGAAAGACAATGAGAACAGGATTCTTGTGATGCGCTTGCCATGGGCAATAGGTGCTCTAGTCTCCTGTGATTCTCAGTTCAGTAGTGACATCAGGAACAAGAAATGGGATGGGAGGGGTCAGAGGGAGCTCTGCCCTTGGTCTTGTGGGGCCCACAGTAAAAGGAAACCAGTTTCCCCTTACGCCACTCCACGGTGATGGGGCTCTGGAGGCTGGGGTGCTCCACATGGCAGGTGTAGATGTCTCCACACTGGGGAGTCATTTCCAGCATCACCAGAATCTGGAATGTCCAGTCGCCGTTCCTAATGAGGGAGGTGGACACAATGCTGGCTGTCTCCTCCTGGTCATTCCAAAACCACCAGACTTTGATCTGGCCTGGATAGAAATCTGTCACCGAGCAGACCAGCAGGTTGTGGTGGTTGAGGGCCTCTGTCCTGGATGGGGAGATGGTCACTGTAGGCTTCTCTGAGGGCAGTAACAGACAGGGAAAGACACAGGAGTGAGATGTGAGACCACACGGCACGTCTACCATGAGCAAGGGTCCCTCCTTGGAACTAGAGTGGAAAGATACTTAGAGTCCAAGTCTTGGATTAAGAATCCTTCAACAAATATAAATTTGACAAGCACTGAGGATCCAAAAATAAACAACAGACCCTGGTTCCTGCCTTTACGGAACTTGTAATCTAGTAACAGAGACTAGAAAAATGAATGTTATTGCAAAAGTTTGTAATATTTGAAGGATAAGTAGGCAGGCCATGAAAACAACTAACACGGATCAGACATGTTTGCCCACAACTCAATTGCTTTATCTTCTCAGAGTGCTGCTCATGTCAAAAATGGCACACCTTTCCCTGCCTGTTTTACACATCTTACCCTGTACCTCTCAGGCCATTTTACTGAATTTCCTTTATTTCTTTAGTGTAAAACTACAATAAATATTTAATGTATGCTTTATTTACTTGGTAATATGTTCTCTCATATTCCTGCTTTTTCTTAGTTTCCTTTTTAACACTCAAGATAGTTTAATTACGAGCTGCCTACCTTACTCCATTCCTGTTCTGTTGAGAATTACTTTCTTCCTCTGAAATTAGACATTATCATGTGTGTTTTCCATAGGAAATATTCTGAGATCTGTGCAGAGATCGGCCTGGGTGCCTGTAATGTGAATATATATATGGCTGGGATTTGCTGAGGTCAGCAGGTGGCACCCCAATGAAATGGCACTCATGAGCCATCAGCTGGAAGGAATCACGGTTTCTGCCTGGACTTGAACTTTTGTTTAGGTTGTCCTTCCTAGAGTCTGACTAACAACACAGTCAGTTATTTGAGGACTTATAAGATATATTCATCTTAAAAAAACTGAAAGTAAAAATAGCACAAATTCACAAGAAAAAATGATAAAATAACTTTCACGGACATAGACTTGAAATAGCAAAAATATAAGTACTTGACAGCATTAGGATGTGGGTCAGAAGGAGACAACGAAGCTTTGTGAACCTACATGGATAACACTGGGGTCAGTCTAGGGATTGTTTAATCAGTGAATTTTCAATACCTTGAAAGTATGATTTTGTCCCATTAACATTGGAAACAGGCAGGAATAGACTCAGTGCTACTTCTTCTCAAAATTGGCTTTAACAAGACTTTACTTCCCCTAGGCTGTGTAGACATGTAGTGAAGAACATAAAGAATGCTGTGTATGGCCCCTCGCGGTGGCTCATGCCTGTAATCCCACCATTTTGGGAGGCCAAGGTAGGAGGATCACGAGATGAAGGGATTGAGACTATCCTGGCCAACATGGTGAAACCCTGTCTCTACTAAAAATACAAAAATTAGCTGACGGTGGTGGTGCAAGCCTGTAGTCCCCGCTACTCAGGAGGCTGAGGCAGGAGAATCACTTGAACGCAGGAGGCGGAGGTTGCAGTGAGCCGAGATCGCGCCACTGCACTCCATTACCAGCCTGGAGACAGAGCGAAACTCCGTCGAAAGAAAGAAAGAGAGAGAGAGAGAGAGAGAGAGAGAGAGAGAGAGAGAGGGAGGGAGGGAAGGAAGGAAGAAGGAAGGAAGGAAGGAAGGAAGGAAGGAAGGAAGGAAGGAAGGAAGGAAGGAAGGAAGGAGAGACTGTGTATTCGGGGGAAGCTTCAGGTCGATTACTTAAAATGTTTACCATGTACCAAGATTAGGAATATATAAAGTGGTGATGTTAATCTCTAATGCACAGGTAGCTGCGGTATTAAATGACATAACATAGATGGTGTTTGCTAAGACAATTGTCTAGAAATAAGTGCTCATTAAATGGGAAAAATTGACTTCATAATGTTTATCCATGAAGTGGATAGTGATGGGTGGGAAGGAGAAAATCTACTCCAAAAGCAACCTGAAATTATTTTCATTCAGTAATTTAGTAGCTTCAATCTATTTATTCCAAAGTGTCTGCTCTTTTCATTGTGCCATTTGTTCAGTTTTTCTAAGAAATTAAAACTGCCTTACAACACCATTCAAGTATTGTTTTTATTTTCAGCAGACACCTTTTTTCCTGACTGCATTCACAAACCTTAAGATCCAAGTCAATAAGAGTTTAAACCATTACGCAAAATAATAGAAAAAAATTAATACGGTCAATTTTTAAGGCTCCTTTTAACCTCTGCTTTCTCTTGAGCCTAAGTGGATGGGCAGCTGAGTACATTTATTCATTAATTTAACTGAAGATCATTAAGCTTATACCACACACCAGTCAATGTGTCAGGTACCAGGCATGCAGTAATTGAAACAATCTCTCACCTCAAAGAGCTCCACCATGGATGAGAGCCATTTAAGAAAACAGAATTACAATGAATAATGACATTTGAAGCCAAATGTCAAAATATCATATTTCACAATTGTAATTGCTGGAGACCCTGCGCACAGTTGTGGGACAGCCCTAACTCCACCAGGCCAAGCCTGAATCTTCCTGTGGCTCGAGCTGGGCACGTGGGCCTCGCTGGGTGGGGCAGTGCTGGCGGGGCAGGCAAGCAGGGGAAGAGAGAACTGCTTAGCAAAGGTGAGGCACGAGGAGGCAAACCTATAACGCACGAGGCAAGAACGTGCAGAGCAGAGGACGAGGCCAAAGGACCGGGAGACTTGGAACACACTGGGCAGCCTGACCCAACTCTGCAGGGAACTCAGGGCTGCGTTTGCGCATCCTCCTGCTCTGCCTTAGTTCCCCGCCCCTCCTGTGCTACCCCCAATCCCGAAGCCCCCGCCACCTTCCTGTCTCCTGGGGTGGACCAGGGCTCTATCCTTGAGGCCTCGCGGCTCCCCTCTGCGCGCAGAGTCGGGAACCCGCCAAGGGTGAGCTCCGCGGAGGGACGACGACGCTCACCTCTCCGCTGCAAGGTCGTCCGGAGCTCCGCCTCGTGGTTGTGTCTGCACACCGTGTACACCGCGGCCCGCTGCTGCTCCAAGAAGTCCTTATAGTTGTTCCAGTCCTCGGTGCTCCGCCCCAGCTCAGTCACCGCCCGGAACTCCCCCACGTCGCTGTCGAAGCGCGCGTACTCCTCGCGGTTATAGATGTATCTGGCCACACCCCGCACGCGCTCCGTCCCGTTGGTGAAGTAGCACATGCCGTTAAACTGGACCACGAAATCCTCTGCGGGGAATCTCCTGCCGGTCAGTCAGGCCCCTCCCGGCCCCAGACCCAATCCCCAGCCGGACCGCACTCTGCAGCCGCCGCCCTGACACGACCAGCAACTGCGAAACCTGTCTGTGCGACTTCAGGTTCTTGGCCAGGCCCTGTGCCTAGTGCTCGGACGTGGGATCCTCCAGGGAGCCCTGCCTGCCCTCTCCGGGGCCTCGGGAATCTGCTTCCTTTAGGGAGGGTAATGGGAAAAGCCCAGTCCCTGCCTGAGCCTGTGAATCAAGTGAAGAGGGCAGTCGGATGGATTTTACATTGACCTCTGCACTTAGATCCAGGCGTTCTCTCGTGAAATCCCATTTTCATGGAGTTCCTGGGAATCTTAGAGACACAGTATCCACATAAATTTGAGAGTTCAAGGGAATGACAAGGAAGGTTCAGAAATTAAGCTTGGTCTCGTCCTGATACAAGTATTCTCTTGGTCCTTGGGAAAAATACATTTCTCATGCCTAGATTTACTCTCTTTCTGCTATACCCGTCCAAGTGCCCGGTGAGGTTTACTCACTTCTGTGTTAGAAAGGACCAACACCTCCGGAGTTCTAGAAAGAAACATTTACTCATGGAAAGAGCCCAAGCTTCCAAATTCTATAGAGTCCAATTAAACTGAGTCAATCACCAGCTTGGGCCCGTTACTTAACAGAATAGTCATATCACAAGTATAATTATGTAAAAGGAAAATCATGATACTTACACATAAGATGTTAGAAGGAGTGAGAGAATTTATATAAAGTACTGTCCCATGCGTGAATGTCAGTATGTATTATTTCTCTTCTTTACATTCTCCTTTCTATCATACTAAATTCAGTCTATCATCAACTCAGGTCCCTGAATCCCACTCAAGTCACCTTTTGCCCATAAATCAGTGAAACATTAGTGGTCACCCAGTCACCTCCCCTCAATACCATGAGTTTGCCTTCACAAACTCTCCAGTCAAGTCAGTAGTATAGACTCCTTTACCTCAAATACCTAGACTACAGACGCCATTGCTGCCTTACATTTCCCAGTGCAGAATCTTATGATATTTAGTCTAGTTAAGTCTTCAGGTACCTTGAAATGGCAAATCCTATGGTGTCTTTGGGGAAATTCATATCATCAAAAATAACTCCATAGGCACTTTGTCCTGTCAGGAGTAGTAAATGCACACATTGTCTCCTCCTTCCTCTCTCCTCCTCCAGGCTTAAGCCTATGAGATTGGGGTTGGATTATCCTCACCTCACCCATTGTACGGTGGAAATAAGAATGAAACATAGCTCTATTTCCCAAAAAGAACAAATGGTGATAAAAGACTGTGTTCTGCGATCATAGAGGTCACCACCCCCATACTCCAGCCCAAGGAGAGCCTGTTCCCAGAGTGGCGGCTCTCCAGAGCAGCTGCCCTGCACTTAAGGGGAGAGTCTCTGCCCTCAGCCACTGGGGTGCTCAGCATCACCAGCATCAAGGTCACAGCTGCCGCCCACAAGCCTCCAGGGATCTGCAGAGCCATCTTCCAAGCCATAATTGAGACCAAGGAAAAAGCAGTGGTAGTCAACACAACTCAAACCTAATGGATTTTATGTACCTGCCGGAAACAGTAAAAACCTCTGAATCCTACCATGCGTGGTAGGATTGGAGAGTCTCTAGGATAAAGGAACCAATCAGCACTGGAGCTGAAGGACCTCATCTGCCTCTGGGCAGACATTTTTCTGTGAAGATTCTCACTCCAATGCCTAGCACTGTTTCTTCTTCAAATTGCACTAGATGAACAGTTGAGGTGAAGATTTCCAAGTAGCTGAAGATTGAATGGCTTGGGAGTTTTAAGCAGCAAAAGACAAATGTGATTCAACAGTAGACATCTTACAAACTATTGTTCTTATACTTGGGATTTTTAGTAGGGCAAATTAAGGGGGGATGATATTTCAGGAAAAAAAAAATGTTGTCATAGAAATGTTCACTTCTATTGTTTTAGACAGTCTGAGGAGGCTTAAGCTTTGGTGAAAAGAGCAAAGTTCTTAGAAGGAAATGATGGTGAGTTGCAGTCCTACCACTAATGAGCTTTCTGAGAGTCAACAAATTACCGAACTCTTTTTTGCCCCAGGCTTCTCTTTGCAAAATGTGGACCATGTTTCATGCATTTTACATCTAGATCTTCACATATACAAATTTAAGATTGATATGACTTGCTTAACATTACAAAAGTCTCCTCCACTGTCATGTGTAACTATCAAGTTAATTGGAGGAACAAGAAAACAAAGCAAATAAATAAAACAAAACTAAACAGGTTGACACCCAGCCCTGCTGGCAAGTGATTCTTCATTATGCAAGAATGTATTGCATTCATGCTCTTTGACTGAAAGTGTTTGTTGACTTTTCTCTTTTAAGTTCTTCAGCTGCTTAAATCCTCCCTGAACCATGAAACAGGTGCATCTGACATCAGTAAAGGACAATACACAAATTTTACAGTATTTCGACATGGTCACATTTAGTTTTGAAAACAGAGAACAAAAGCTGTAGAGAAGCATTGCCTGGGGCTGAATCGTATTAATGATGGAGCAAATGTTTAGAGTTACAGATTGTATTGGGCCAGCCCTAAACATCACATCCAAAATGGCAGAGGTACCAATGTGTTTTTATAATAAATTTACTACTTATCAGGCTCCTGTTGCCCATGGCTAGGGGCAGCACTAATGCTTATAAAGCAATTAAAACAATGCCTGACAAACATTATTGGAACCCTAACCAAGAAAATAAATATCTCCATCTCTCTTCTTCTCTCCCTTCCTCCCCCGCTCTTCCTTATATGTTAGTAAAGTAGAAAATAGGCTCAAAATCAGAATATTAGCTTACCAGGTGAAAAGAAACAGGGAAGAGACAGTAGCAAGGTTTTGCTTCCACTTAAGCAAAACCTTAAGTAGAAAAGGTTTGCAATAGTGGCACAGGAAAGCATTGAGTGACTCCAATATGCCGTATTATTCTGTGCATAGGTTTAGATCACCTGAGACTGGAAAAGTTGCCACTGGGCTTCCAGCAGCAGTGGTGTACTCAGGAGCAAGGTAACCCCAGTCTAAGGAGGGTCTCCACTGCTGCAATGGAAGCATAAAGGAGGAACATCAAACTCAGATCTAGAATGCAATTGGGGGCAAGAAAAAACAGGCAGAGAGGGACTTGAAGGTGCCCTCAATGTCCTCTTAATCCCCAGTACAGCATCCCTCAGAATAGAGACCTCTGGCTCTTCCCCTCCTTCCTGTTCAAAGGGAGAAATTCCCCTCAAGTTTACTGTGTGGCTGTGAGGCAAAGGCTGCATCTAACCTAGGGATTCCCCAGTCTCACAGGCCTCTTCACAAAGACTTTTCTCTTTTCTTTTCTTCTCTTTTCTTCTCTTCCTTTTTCTTTTCTCTTCTCTTCTCATCTTTTCTTTCTTTTCTTTTTTAGGGACAGAGTCTGGCTCTGTTACCTAGGCTGGAGTACACTGGCATGATCATGGCTCACTGCAGCCTGAACCTCGTGGGCTCAAGTGATTCTCCCATCTCAGCCTCCCAAGCAGCTGGGAGTACAGGCAAGCACCACCATTCTGTGTAATTTTTAAAAAAACTTTTGTAGAAACAGGGTTTTGCTATGTTGCCCAGGTTGGTCTCAAAGTACTTGCCTCAAGCAACCCTCCCACCTTGGCCTCCCAAAGCACTGGGATTATAGGTATGAGCCACCACGCCTGGCCATGCAGGCTTTTCAACTAGCAACAAATGTGTTAGCTTAGAGCCATTTTCTGATGGGCAAGAACCTCACCTGAGGCTGCACGTGGTGGCTCACACCTATAATTTTCTAGCGCTTTGGGAGGCCAAGGCAGGCAGATCACTTGAGGTCAGGAGTTCGAGACCAGCCTGGTCAACATGGTGAAACTCTGTCTCTACTAAAAATACAAAAATTAGCAAGGTGTAGTGGTGCACACCTGTCATCCCAGCTACTCTGTATGCTGAGGCAGGAGAATCACTTGAACCCAGGAGGCAGAAGTTGCAGTGAGCCAAGTTTGCACCATTGCACTCCAGCCTGGACAACATGAGCAAAAATCATCTTCCCTGGTCAGCATCTCTTAGAATCTGTACCTAGTCAATGCGGTTGAAGGTAAATGTGGAGTCATCCTGCCACCAGAAGGGTTATCCAGGATTCTATCCTGCAATTACTTTCAGAACCAAGAAATACTGTACATTCAGAAAGGTTCTGTGGCCTCCTTATTGCCAGTGGTAACGAAGTTAGAAATACTGCCCCAGAATCTCATTTTCCTTTAATAAAAATGTGTCAAGCAATTATCTCTAAATTTTTCAAAACCTCATGAAGCTACTTACATATTTTCCTTATATCAACTTTTAGATAACCAGTTACATGAAATTTTTTTAAAGACACATATAAATTAGACCCTTTCTCTTTAAACAGTTGTCTCTTTAAAATGACGGTTTAGAAAACCTGAAGAAAGAGTTAAATTAGCAGCATTCAGGGGCTGGGCTCACACAGTGCCTCCTTCAAGCAAGTGGCCATGGGGAAACTCCATAGTGGAAGGCAGGTAAGGACTTGGAGGATACCACAGGGTGAGGGACTAAGAGTGTCAGAAAAGTGTCAGCAGGAAGATAGAAAATCAGGTGATACAAGGCATTTGGGACACTTGGGGGAAGTGGGGAAGGAGGGTGATCTTGGCAAAGGAGTCCTTTTTCTTTGCTTTTTTTTTACATTTTTAATATATTTTTAATTCAACAGCTTTTGGGATACAAGTGGTTTTTTGTCACATGGATGATTTGCACAGTGGTGAAGTCTGGGATTTTAGTGAACCTGTTACCTGAGTAGTGTACATTTTACCCAATATGTAGTTTATTATCCTTCACCCTCCTTCCCACCCTCCCCGCATTGTCCCTTACACTACTCTCTGTGCCTTTGAGTACCCATACCTTCCTACCCACTTAGCTCCTACGTATAAATGAGAACATGCGGTATTTGGTTTTCCATCCCTCAGTTAGAAGTTTTTTATTTTGACGGAGTCCAATTTATCTGTTGTTTTGTTTTCGTTTTTGTTTTTGTTTCTTGCCTATGCCCTTAGTGTTACGTCCAGGAAATCATTGACTAATCTAATTTCATGAAGATTTTTCTTTATGTTTTTTTCTAAGAGTTTTATAGTTTTAGGTTTCATATTTAGGTCTTTGAATCATTTTGAGTTCGTTTTGTCTATAATGCAAGGTAAGAGTCCAGTTTCATTCTTTTGTATGTGAACTTCCAGTTTTCCCAGCACCATTGTTGAGAAGGCTGTCCTTTCCCCATTTAACGGCCTTGGCACCCCTGTTGAAAATTGTTTGATCATATATGTCAGGATAATTTCCTGGGGTTGATATTGTAGTTTAGTTATGTAAGATGTTACAGTTGGGGAAAGCTGGATGAAGGCTATACAGAATTTTTTGTACTATCTTGATAACTCCCTTTGAATCTATAATTATTTCAAAATACAATGTCAAAAAAGTAAAGCCAACCAAAATAATATGTTTATCTTTTAACAAACTAATTCAATAAGATACTTAATAAAAATTACCCAGTGTGAAATACAAAGAGAAAAGAGTAGGGGGAAAAACAGAGCAGAGCATCCAAGAGCTGCAGTGCCATATTGAGTGGTTACATCACCTTTGTTTGTGTGTTTGTTTGTTGTTTGTTTGTTTTGAGACAGGGTCTCACGCTGTTGCCCAGGCTGCAGTGCAGTGATCACAGCTCACTGCAGCCCCCACCCCAGCCCACAACTCAACTCAGGCAGTTCTCCTGCCTTACTTCTGAGTAGCTGGGAATACCAGCACCATGCATGCCCACTTAATTTTTCTCTTTTTTAGACAAGGTCTTCTTATGTTGCCCAGGCTGCTCTTTAACTCTTACATTCAAGCATTGTTCCCACCTCAGCCTCCCAAAGTGTTGAGATTATAGGTGTGAAACACTGTGCCTAGCCCTTTCTTTTTTTTTAATGTACTTTTACTCATTTTCTCTCTTTGTGTTTCACTCTAGGTAATTTTGTTGAACTCTTTCAAGCTCATTGATTCTTCCCAGGGCTTTACCAAGTTTGCTGATGAGCTTGTCAAATGCATTCTTTATTTCTGTTAATGTATTTTTATTTCCATCTCATTCATCCTTATAGTTTTCATATCTCTGCTGAAATTATCTAATCTTGCATGTTGTCTACATTTTCTATTAGAGATTTTAGTATATCAATCACAGTTTGTGAAGCAGGTTTACTAATTATCAACATCAAGGGAGGAAAGGGAGGTCTTCCATGTGTGGAGAATAAAAAAGATCATCACTATGTCAACCACCAGGAAAAGAGATCCAGATACTTCTTCCCACTGCACTGGCTACCTATTTATCTGAGTCTGGTAAAACAGAACACTCTTACACAAACATTATGTGAAGCAGTTTTTTGTTTGTTTGTTTGTTTTTGAGACAGAGTCTCACTCCGTCACCAGGTGCCAGGCTGGAATGCAGTGGCGCGACCTCGGCTCACTGCAAACTCCACCTCCCAGGTTCAAGCAATTCTCCTGTCTCAGCCTCCTG